CAGATAATATGCGCCCACGTAACCCAGTGAAACGTAGAAAAGAAAGAGACGATGAAGAAAATGAAAGCGTCTCTTCAGAATCTACGATCATCGCCGACGATAATGACACTGGTGACCTAATGGATGACAACGAAGATGGCTTCATCCTCGTGGAACATCGCCGCAAAAGGAGCACTGGCGTGCCAGTTCTTCTGACTCCGAAGGATGAGACTTGCCGCCTACAGCAACAGAACCCATTACACCTCAGTAGCGCGATCAGCGCAGCAGCAGGTGGGAAACTACTGCGCCACCATTTCACGGCACGTGGAGGTCTCCGTGTGGAGATCGCCGAAGAGGAAGCAGTCAGACGATTGCTAAAAGTGAAGAATCTGTGTGGCATTGAAGTTCAAGCTTCCGTGTCCGCAACATATCTACAAAATCACGGACTCATCAGGGGTGTTCCCGAGTGGTACTCAGACGCTCAGCTGTTAGATTACCTTGCGCCAGAGGGAGTCATTGCTGTTCGGCGTCTCTTTCACCGACATGGTCAACCTGGAGCCGCAGCTATTACAACGGACAAAGTTCTCCTAACCTTCCGTCCAAACACTGAAAGGCCAAGCCAGGTAAATCTTGGCTTCACAAGACATGACGTAGTAGAGCACGTAGTGCCCCCACCACGCTGCTTCAAGTGCCAAGCCATAGGACACGTAGCAAAATACTGCAAAGGGGAAACAAAGTGTAAGAAATGTGGAGGTCCCCATGACATAACCTCTTGCTCTAAAGAGGTCACCGTAAAATGCGCCAACTGTGGTGATCCTCACCCCGCAAGCTACGTTAACTGCAAGGTCCGACTTGCAGCACTGGCACGTACTAAAGCATTCCTTCGTGGACCAAAACCACAGCAACAGGAAGTTAAATTTTCAGCAGGCCCAGATGACTTCCCACGACTTTCCCCGATTGAAGATGCCTCGTCGGAGACGCCAACTATCTTCCAGCCTGGTAAACAAAGAAATAACCCACGGAGGATGCCCAAGAAGCCTGGAGGAAAAAGTTACAGAGCCGCTCTTTTAGACGCACGTCCGAACGACTGCGGCGTTATACCATCAAAAGAGACCGTGACGCCTGCAGGTTCGAGGACCTCCACCAGCGGCGGAACAAGTGGTTCAACGGAAGAATCAAAGGTGATTAAAGCTTCTCCGGTAAGCACAACACTTCCTGAGCGTGAAGATGCCGCTGAGAGTCCCAAAATGACAATCGTAAAAGCAGTATTTGCAACTATTAGAAAAGTCATGGAAGGTCTACCAGCAGGAGAGGTCAAAACGGCCCTTAAGGGTATATTGTGCCTAGAGGCCATCCTTGCACTATAATCAAGAAATAAATTGTCACAACCGGCAACTTGAAGACAATACACTTTCGACAATATAACAGAGGAAAACTGCAGGCACAGATAACAAATCAATATGACTGGTAAACAAGAATACCCAACAATACTCCAATGGAACTGCAGAGGTCTGAATTCAAAACTCTCTGAAATCAAATTATATATCAAACAGTCGCCAATACCCGTTTTGGCTTTTTCGGAGGCTGGCCTCCGAAGTGGTTGTTCCTTATCTGGGTACAAGACTTACACGTGCCCATCAATTTCGACTTTTCCGAATGGGAGCGCAGCCCTTTTTATTCGCCGAGAGCTTCCCCAGTGTCAAATCCCAACCACTGATTTATGTACGGAAGACGCAGAATTTGTTGCAGCTAAGGTACGCATTGGAAAGAAAACGGTACTTGTTGTCTCTCTATACATACGTCCCGGAAGCAACACGGACATGTTCGACCGCTTCCAAAGCTGGTGTCTACAACATCGCCAAGACCTTATCATATGCGGAGACTTCAACGCGCATCATACAATGTGGGGTAACGTACGATCAGATCGCCGAGGAAGGAAACTCGAAGAACTTTTCGATGAAGTAGGACTTGTGGTGGCAAATACGGGCAGCCCGACATACTTGCGAGTACCATCGACTTTTACAGCAATAGATGTTACAGCGCATGATCCATCCCTCAACGTTAGATGGTCCACGGCACCTGATACAATGGGAAGCGACCATTTTCCTATTTGGATTCAGATCAGGGGTTGTTCCAACACTAAAAAGAAAGTATGTCATGTTATCCACTGGGACACGTTTCGCTTCACACTTGACTCTACGAACGATGATATCATTGATGCAATAAAGACAGCACTAAGAAACAGCACAAGAACTATTCGATTACCAGAACACTTCCCATCCCCGGACTTAAAGCTGCTGAATCTCTCCGCAGCTCGTCGCAGGGCACAGATTCGCTACCGACGACACCCGATTCTCGAGAACAAGATAAAATTCAACCGAATATGTACAGTCTTCAAGAGATACGCCAACCGGCTCCTCAGGAGCCAATGGAGAAAATTTTGTGAAGAATCGAATTCACGAACCTCTTTTGGCAAAGTCTGCAGGGTGATTCGCTGCCTAAGCGGAAACAGACGTCCGGTTCGACCCTTCGATACATTAGCGCTTGCTCAACAGACAAACTTGCCTGACCTAGCCGAAGAATTTGCCATTTCATACTCTAACCAGGCTCGTACATTGCTGCGGCCAGCTCCAGTAAACCGCAAGGCAAGTCTCTTAGATGACCCGTTCACAGAAAATGAGCTGACAGTGGCTCTACGGAAATGCCGTCGCCACAGCGCCACTGGCCCTGACGGAATCTCCTACCAAGCTTTGCAAAACCTTCCTCCCTATGGATTTTCTTCCCTGCTTCGCTTGTTTAACGAAGTTTGGGAATCTGGAAGAGTGCCAGATGAGTGGAAACTCTCAACGATTGTCCCCGTACAGAAACCTGGAAAACCACCAGAGCTGCCTACCTCGTACAGACCAGTAGCACTGACTTCATGCGTCGCAAAGCTGATGGAACGGTTAATTCAAAGTCGACTAGCTTGGTTCCTGGAACGTCAGAAGTTACTTCCAGACGAAATGACAGGGTTTCGTCCAAAACTTAGCGCATCAGATAGTCTACTGGATTTTGTCAGCAGTGTCGAGCATGGAGGAAGGACAGGAAACACAACACTTGCTGTTTTCTTCGACGTAGAAAAGGCCTTTGATAATGTCAGCATCCTATCTGTCCTTCAAGAACTTACCAGAATCGGCATCACCGGGCGTGTCCAGACGTTTCTGTCTGCATTTATGAGCAACCGATGTTTCCAAGTACGCCTTGGAAACACCCTAAGCGTCACACATCATCGAAATATTGGACTTCCGCAAGGTTGCGTCCTCAGCCCCATATTGTTCAATATCGCAATGGCAGGCCTTCCTCCAGCTATTAAAAGAACGTCTCCTTATACAACGTGCTCTGTGTATGCAGATGATATCTGCCTCTGGACGAGTGCAACAAGACGGGACACGTTAAAGAATGCTATGCAGCCAGCAATCGACACAGTTTTAGACTATTTGGATGCAGTAGGACTCAACGTTTCAAAAGAGAAAACTGCGTATATGATTCTACCGCACCCGAAGAGACGCTCATGCCATAATATTAAACTAAATATTAGCAAGAGCGAAATTCAACGCGTCAAAGTGTACAAGTTCCTCGGCGTTACCTTAGACCCAAGATTAAAAGGGAAAAAGCAAGCTGACAGGATAGCCGAAGCATCAACTAAATTCGTGAATGCCATTCGGCGCATTGGTGGACTAAGATGGGGAAATGCTCCAAGATCCATGCTTGGGCTACACACTTCACTTGTTGTGAGCCGCATGATATATGCCCTACCTTTCACGCATCTCTCTGACACACAAAAAACTCGCTTAGAACGCATCCACCGCCGAGGACTACGAACCGCCTTAGGCGTTCCGAGAGCAGCACCTAATGAGTGCGTTTATGCAGAGAGCTCATCTCTAGACCTTAACCTGAGAGCGACACAATCGACACTTAATCAACTTGTACGTCTTCATCAAACCAGAAGTGGAGTGACGTTGCTCAAGAAACTAGAAGCAAGGCGTTCCAATTTCACCCTACATTTACAAGAGCTATACAACGTTGAACCATCGCTCCAGAAATCTCGTCCCCTAACTTGCGCTGAAGAACCGCCATGGCGCGAACCACCAGTAATGTACGATCTACATCTCCCGGGAGTGTATAGGAAGGGAAATCTACCAGGAATTGTACTGCGGCAAATTGCTGAGGAGGTCCTTTCCTCAAAATACCCAGGAGCTCTACAGGTATATACCGATGGCTCCGTTCACTTCGGAACGTGCAGCGCTACCGCGGCCTTTGTTATACCAAAGGAGAACACGGCATGGAGCGGCCGTTTTCAAGCGGTGGTCAGCTCCACCACGGCAGAGCTTAAGGCCATTGAGAAGGCACTTAACTACATCACCTCACATACCCCACAAACTGTAGTGCTGGTCACCGATTCAAGAACGGGACTTCAACGCCTAGGTAATCCTGACTCCATGGACGAAACGACGGCCACCATTCAACTTACGTTAAAGCACTTATACAATTCTGGATTCAACATTGCGTTTCAATGGGTACCTTCACATGTGGGACTGTTTGGTAATTCCGAAGCCGATAAACTCGCAGGAGCGGCACATGGACTGCCGCGCACTATTCCCAGTCCAACAGATTTCAATGCGACACGAAAGTCCATAAAAAGTTACATAACTGAACTTTCCCCAACCAGATACTCCAAACATCAGCCATGCATCACAAAGGGTCTTAAAAGAGAGAAGTGCACTTTCCTCATAAGAATACGCAGCAGAAGTGCATTTACAAATGCGTTTCTTTTTAAAATATCTGCAATAAAGAGCTCCCAGTGTCCGAACTGCAACGATGAAGAAAGCATTTGCCACATCCTCTTCAACTGCGAAGAATATAGCGATCCACGTCAACGGTTCGTCACTGAGCTCGCCAGAATTGGACTTCGTGATCCAGACGACGAGGACATCATCTATCCAAGTGGTTCGCCCCGTCGCCGCCAAGTAATACAACACCTGCTACTGAACTTCCTCGACGAATCCGGTGTCGCAAATCGCCTGTGAAATAACTCGAGATTAACTCTTAGCGCGTTCACGTCTTTATTTTATTTTTCTCTATTTTCCTTCCCCCTTTCTTTATCCCCCTTCTTTCCTTTCTCTCTGCTTCTTTTATGGGGAACCAGTTCAGCATTCCCGCTAGAACAACCTCCCCTGCTTCTCTCACGCTACCTCTCTCTCTCTCTCCAATTGACCGCCCCGTTATACTGTAGGAGCGGCAGGTAAAGTTACGGCCAGGGAGGGTAAATAGGAGCCAAAATAAAGAAGAAACCACACGAGATAAAAGCGGTAGCAGCATATTTATCTACCTCCTCCGGCGCCGGCACCTCGCGCGTTCTGCTATGGTCGAGAGGTTAAACCGCCGGTATTTGTCGTCGCGGTGTGGAAGTTCCGGGTTTAAATCGCACTAGGGACTTCTTTGTTTTTCTTTTTCTTTTTTGTATTTTGCGCGTGTCTTACTTTTTAACTGTGATCCTTTTTAGGAAATCATCCACTTGCACTACTGCGCCTTACACGGTTTTTACTGTTAGTCCCACCTGTTCAATCGAAACACCGGGAAGAAAAAAAAAAGAAGATCAACGCAAGTTAACGCGCTAATACAATCATTTCAAAATGTTCATTAAAAGGAAACCAAGATAACAGCATCGCTATGGCTTTCACACTAACGGAGCCGAAACAAGTATCCTTTCCCCAGCAACTAGTTTTATGTGTTTTTAAATATACAACGCTCTTGCTACGATTCCTTTCAATAACAAGAGACGCCTATTTAGGATTAATAAAAACTGCAATTGTGACAATTAAAAAAAAAAAAAAAAACAAGCAAAAAGAAAAAAAAAGACTAGCAACTGTGGCTACACTGATTGAGCGAAATCCTACAGGCAAGGCAGCAAGTCAAACGTCTGAGAAAGTAGTAAACCGAAATAAAGGCGATCATACTGTTACTTGCATGGAATGTGGTAAAGAGTATATTTATACTCTTTACATTTTGTTGTAGCAATCGTTTTGTAACATTACCACATTACTTGTTGAATTTTAGTTAGATTAGCGGACGATCACGACCGAATGCAAAAATGAATCAGGCGTCGACATCGCAAACCCTCTCTCTAATGCAAACACCTAAATGACTTTGGAACAACAAATGGAATTCATTATAATTAATTCCATTTATGATCCAAAGTCATTTTAGGTCCCTCACTCTAATGCACACTCCTAAAATGACTTTGGATCAACAAATGGAATGAAATGATTGTATTAGCGCGTTAACTTGCGTTCATCTTTTTTTTTTTTCTTTCCAATGTTTCGATTGAACAGGTGGGACTAACAGAAAAAACCGTGAAAGGCGCAGTAGTGCAAGTGGATGATTTCCTAAAAAGGATCACAGCTAAAAGGTAAGACGCTCACAAAATACAAAAAAAAGAAAAAAAAAAAGTAGTCCCTATCGCGATTTGAACCTGGAAGTTTCACGCCGCGACGACGAGTACCGGCGCTTAAACCTCTCGACCACAGCAGCAGGGACGAGGCGCCGGCGCCGGCGGAGGCGGATAAATATACTGCTACCGCTTTTATCTCCTGTGGTTTCCTCTTTATTTTGGCTCCTATTTACCCTCCCTGGCCGTAACTTTACCTGCCGCTCCTACAGTATAAAGGGGCGGTCAATTAGATTCCAGATGAAAGTCCCTGCAATCAGTTTCTGCGAGCGAAATTAGGCTTTTGTGCTTGAAGCGATGCGGATCTCTCCGCCATTAGGCAGGGACGCTAGGTACTTCCTTGTCCCCATGGAGCTGGTCACGTGACGTAAAAATCCCTCCTGGCCGCAGCCGCGACCGCAGCCGCAAGATGAGCAAACCGGCCCTGGCAGGGGTCCTGGGTTCAATCCACACCTCTGCCCGTTTCGATCTGAATGAGCACCGTACCGGCGTGCGATCGCGTACCACTACTGTGTGGTGCACTTCAAAAACCCCAGGCAGGGTGTAAGATAGACAGGTGGGGAAACGAGAGCCAAATGAGCGACCGGATTGTGTCCCCCTCGGGTTTCTCTTTTTCTGTGGCGCCATCTATGTGGAGCACCGCGAACTCTAACTCCGGGTGGGCGACCGGTGGCGACCGACTAAACTGACGGAGATGATTTCTCTTGGATTTTCAATGTAGGAATGTCGTGATCTCGGTTTATTTTATGCGCTCTCCCATAAAGTTCCATACAAATTCAATTCCAATTTTTGTATGTATGTATGTATGTATATTTGAGGCACAATCTCTTTGTAATGAGAGTCTTGTAAGACATGCCAATAAAAGCAAAAAATAAAAACTAAATAAAAAAGGACAACAACGAAAGAGAACTGGTTAGCACGTGTGTCCAAAGTTCGCCAACCGTCACTTTCGCACAGTCAAAGTTAATCAGTTCACATGACACCGTCGTTTTAAGTGAACGCTTGCCCCTCCAGCCAAAAGTAAAGCAGCGGCTATAGGCCATCTTGGTCACCTTGGTCGTCTTGGTCACGACCCCGATTTTTCAGTCAAGTCTGCCACCATGCCTCGAGCCTCCGCTTGGAGCATACTACATGGGTCTGTTCGTTGGTGAAACCAAGTGCCTGCTCCAAGCGGGCACCCACGACAGCCGTTGGGTGTAGCGCCCTGCACGCAAGCAGCAAGTGGTCGATTGTCTCTTCGCCCGCTCCACGCGCACTACATACCGTGTCAGTCACGCTGCTATCGTACTTGCTTCGGTATAGGCGGGTACGTAGGGCACCACCACGGGCCTCTATAAGTAGTCGACTGCCCAGTGTGTTCCCGCAGAAAGTCACCGGCGCAATCTCCGTCTTCAGAGACGCTTACATGTGCATGGAAGGGTGTTGTAGCATGCCGCTCATCCAACGGTCCCTCTCAATCCTCTTCACTTCCTCCCGCACTGTGCTCATCCACTCCTTTTCTGTTTGAGGTTCAGTGGCCAAGCTGAAGATCTTAAACTTTGTCCCAAGACGAGTGACTCGCTTCCTCCACGTCGAGTTGATATGCTTCAGGTGAATGTACATTAAAACTCGCCTGGCCCACCGGTCTCCGTTCATGTACCGGAGACGTGTGTAGTACTGAAGCTTGCTGTTTGCCTCCCGCGCTTCAAAGGAAGACCAGCCGACATCGCCCTCTATCAGTTCATTGGCTACTTGTCCATGACACCCTAGTGCATGTCGTCCGACCTCCCTTTGGCGCCGCTCAAGATATGTGCGTAGCTCACTAGGTACACATATGACTGAGTTTCCAAAAGTCAGCCCGGGCACAGCCACAGCCTTCCAAAGTTCTCGGGTGACAATGTACCGGTCACAGCTCCATAGGCTCCGCCTTCGCAGTATGTTCCGCTTGCTAACTAAGGACTTCCTGAGGCCCTCATGGTGCTCAATCAAGTAGTCCTCTCTAGCCGACAGTGTTATTCCGAGGTACCTGTATTCGGTGTGAAGAGGTATGGCTGAGCCTTGCAGGATGAGCGACCCGAGATTGCACCCCTCGCCAGAAAAGATGACTGTCGCTGACTTGCCAGCATTGAAGCGTAGTCGGAGGTGTTCCGCTGCAGTTTCACAGGCGACGAGCAACCTCCTCATGTCTTCCACACTGCCGGCCATCAGCACGAGGTCATCAGCATAGGCAAGGCCAGGGAGTCGCCACGCTACAATATCACCATGCTGGCGGTGTTCCAAAGTGAAACCAATGCCAGTGTCTTCAATGGCCTTTTCCATGCTAGAGGCATATAGCATATATAGCGTCGGCGACAACGGACAGCCCTGTCGTAAACCTTTTCCAACTGTGACCTCGCCTGAGATGTCACACCATTGAAGGATGTCATCACCACATTGCCGTCGTATAACCGACGGATCAAGCTCACCCATGTTTGGGGCATATTAAGGTTTCTCAGCCTTTCCAACAGCATTAGGTGAGGGACACAATCATACGCTTTAGCGATGTCTAGAAAGCAGCATATCAGAGGCCGCCTCTCCGCTTGCGCTATCTCGATGCATTGGGTCAATGTAAACAGGTTATCGTCCAACCGCCGCCCAACTCGAAACTCGTTCTGCAGTTCCGTAAACACGCCGGCTCCCTCAGCCCATGCTGTGATTCGCCAATTGATGATAGGCGTGAATACTCTGTATACAACTGCCGTGACGGTGAGCGGTCGGTAGTCATGCAACAGCTGCTTGTTTCCACCTTTTTTCGAGATGAAGGTTACTCGACCGCGCCTCCAGTCAGTGGGGATCGGGTCATCTCCGCAGCATATGCGACTGAACAAGTGGGCCAACTGCTCTTGAGCGTCGGGTCCCAGGCCTTTCAGTACCTTAAGGCCCGTTCACACTCTTGCAACCGAGTACGACCGAGAGAGACCAGACCGGTTTTTAAGCCTCTTGCGATCTCTTAGGACCAGCTCCGCTGTAGCGCATCTGGTCCTAAGAAGTCGTAAGAGGATTAAAAACCGGTCTTGTCTCTCTCGGTTGTACTCGGTTGCAAGAGTGTGAACGGGCCTTTAGCCGGGATTCCGTCCAGGCCCTGCGCAGTGCCGCCGTTCAACCGCGCGAGAGCGCGTGCGACCTGTACTCTTCCCACGATGGTGGTGTTGCCGCAGCGCCATCTGTTGCAAATCAGCGGTACCCGCAAGCAGACGAGTACACAATCCGGTCACGGCGCTGCGGTAGGCTTCTATGGGCCGTTTCCCCACCTGTCTATCTTACACCCTGACCCCAGGCTAACGGTTGTACAGCACTGGCTAAATTTCACATCTACAGCGAGCACGGTGTAAGATAATACTCTTCAGGTGAGGACAGCGCGCTCCTCGAGCAGTGCAGATGAAGTTCGCTTTTCACTCTCTTTCTTTCTCTCTCTCACTATTTTTTCAAGTGGCGCCGGCAGATGACTCGCCGACCCGTGGGTACACTGTACACTGTACCGTGGGCACGGCAAAGACGGCTCGTGCCGCCTCATGCTCCACACGCGCAGAGCTCCAGTTCGCTCGTGCAGAAAGA